ATGGGTCTGTGTTGGGGGGCTGCGGTGGTGTCTGCGGGGAGAGGCCGGTGAAGATAACCTTGTGTGCGCTTCCAGAATAAAGAGGTGTCGGAACTACTATGAAATTCTGGGGGTGGAGAGGGACGCCAGCGAGGAGGACCTGAAGAAAGCCTACCGCAGGCTGGCCCTGAAATTTCACCCTGACAAGAACCGCGCTCCCGGAGCAACAGAAGCTTTTAAAGGTGAGGTGGAAGGCTGGCCCGGTTTCAGAAATCGTAAAGGAAGATTAAAACGAGGACAGACTGCCTCAGACTTACAGTTCTGCACCTTATATAAAGGCATCATAGAGGCCCATATAGCTTGTCGTTTTTATAGATGTATATGCACAGTCTCCACAAAATCCTGCAGCTGTTTGGCAAGGTTTGCCCTTGAATCTTCAAAATACAGATTTCCATTAGAAGCAAAGGGAAATGTATCCCAAATCTCATTGCTAGATACTGCTAAAGGTTCAGAATGATGCTTGGAAATAATACTGGCCATGCAGGAGAGGGTGGTGTTGCGTAATTGACAACTGCTCGGTGTCATAAATACAATTATATCTATATATGCAAGCATATGAAATTTAAGTCCAGTATTCTGTGTTTGGACTTACCAGGAATGTTGCAATCTAAATGTGTATCGACAATGTTAGCATCTAAACTCTTGATGTCTTTTGCCCTTTCCATGCTATGTTGCAGCTGTCTACAACAGCACTGTAAGGCAGCGTGGGGAAAGTAAAGTATTCATTCACAGTCTATTAGAATAAGGAGTTTCTGAAGGGCTTTTCTTTATTTTTTTTGTGTTAGGGTTGTATTTCTCTATGAACTTGTTTACAGCCGTGTTCTGTCAAAGATCAAGGAAGAAGATGAGCCAAACAAGTACTTCTGGGTGGTTTGAGGTAAAGTGTGAAATAGATATGCTGTAAAGCTGCACAAGCATCTCTGCTGACAGAAAAACTTGGAAAATGGGTCTGCATTTTCACTGGGCTCTGCCATTATTAATGTCGTATTAACTGTACGTGGTATATGGAAGTGCACTTCTCTATCAGTGCTTAGCTTGATAGATTGATAAAATGTTACATTCTCACTCAGTCTCTTGACTGAAGTGGACTCTCTCACCTCAGTTTTACAACTATTTCAACTCTCTCCATATACTTTAACACCTTTGTTTTCCTACTGGTATCAGTGATAGCAGGAAATCGGTTCCATCACAGGTAATGCTGCTGTTGTAACACTTTTTTTACAAAGGCAGTTCTTTCAAAAGTAATTCAGCCTTTGTTCAAGCACAAATTGTCTACACCTGTTTGGGCTTTTTTGCTACTCTGTTTATAAAAGTTTGAGGTCTGGAAATACTGCATGATATGCTTCTGTAATGCTTCTTTTAATTCACTCTCCAGCAATAGGCAATGCTTTTGCAGTTCTGAGCAACCCTGAAAAACGATTACGATACGATGAATTCGGAAGTGACCAAGAGCACGTCAGCACTGGTCAGGCCAGGCACTATAATTACTACACAGAATTTGAAGCAGACATTACACCAGAAGAAATATTCAATGTATTTTTTGGTGGACACTTTCCTACAGGTTAGTATCTGTCTGCAGTGTTTTTGAAATGTAATGAATTGGCACTAGACCATAAAGTAAGTTCAGCTTCTCTCAATACTGCTCAGGGAGTTGATTATGCATCTGAAAAGAGCAAAAATCTTTTTGGATTTATGCTTTTCTTCCTAGCTTTTTATACCTGGAAAAGTTCCCTTAATGCACTGTTTAAGCTTCAGATTTTAGGAACTCTGCACCAAAAAAAAAAAAAAGCTGAAAGCCCAGCCTTGCTGTCCAGGAGTGCCGCTAGGAGAGGGAGCTGCCAGTGGAGTAATGACTTTTGCTGCTGGGGCAAGTTCCTAACCCTCCCTGAAATTTTCTGACAGCGCTAGTTAGGGGTAAGAACTTCTTAATTCAGCAAGGGATTAAGCTGCTTGATTCTTGGGTAGGCAATATTTTAGTACCAGCTGTAGCTGAAGACCCTTCTTTTTGTTGTTGCTTTTATCCCCTCTGTTCTCTGAAGCCAGCAATGGTATCGGAAGTAAAACAAGGTGTGAATGGGAAGGGATCAGAGGTAGCGTTGTTGATGGTGGTGTGCTTGAGACACCTTACTGTGTTCCAGTACAGCGTGGCAGAAGCTCCTGGCGTTGTGGTCTCAGTGCCCCTATACCTAGGAAAACATGGGAGTTCATTTGGCTTGCACCCGCTTGTGTAGTGTAAAGAAATTAAAACTTCGTGGCTTAGAAAGCGATGCCTGCCAGGAAAGGCTGTTACTGGATATGCAGTATCCACTAACAGAACAGTAGATCCGTACCTGTAGCAGCTCCGTGCATGTCTCAGTCCAGCCTCAGCTTTTGTATTTCTAGTAAAAATAGATACTGCAGTATCAGTGGAATACAGGTTTGGATTAAGAGTAAATCTGAAAGGTATGGTGAGCTCGAGGATCTTCCTGGCAGTATCTAACAAATTGCTTTAGCACTCTTGTAAACTTTCTCACCTCCAAGGCGTGGTATAAAGCAACATACACACCAATTACTACAGCGTAAAGCCATAAAGATGGGCAATTACTTACAAGCTCCCCATAATCTTAATACGTGTGGTAACATCTTGCAGCAAAGGAGACCTCACATTGTTTTCAAAATTTCATCAGTAGATATGCAAAGTGAGCCAAACTGAGAGCGGTGTAATTCCACACCGAGTTTGCAAGTTTTCCATTTCTAACTTTGCAAGAAATAGCACCTGCATGTGCCTTTGGCCTTGGCCACCAGTGAAACAGTGCCCTCGTGGAACGTGACTGCTATGTAGCCATGGGCGACAGGGATGCTTGGAGTTGAGGACAAGAAATTGAGGAGCTGCGGGAGGAATTTGAGTGCTGGGCATGGCAGGTTTAACAGGTCGAATGGCATGAAGAAGTAAATGGGAATTTTTATCGATGGGGCAAAGAATAAGAAAATAAAAAGATAATTTCATAGTAATAGGTGTTGGTAGTAAACAATAGTTTCCTTGCCCAAAAAATGTTTGGGTCTGAATATATGTACATTTTCCTAGTTGAAAAGTGAGTTTTAAATTCTGGAAAATCATCAGTTCAGTAGTTTTCCAAACAGGCGAAGTCCACAGTTTCTGCTTAGCAAGAGAATTACTAGAAGGAGGGTGTCCAGATAGTTGATATAAAAAGAACGTTTTTTAAACTGTCGTAACATTAAGTAGGACTTGTGTGCGTGAGCTGAAGGTTGTGCTAAGCTGCAGTGTTCTGCTGGTTCTTGTTTTGTGACACCTTGCTACCACCAGGCATTCTGGAAATCTGAATAAGAAATGTTGGTGTTGGGGTACACTCATTTGTATAGCTTTTGTGGGCAGGTTTATGGCTTGCTTTTTACCGTGCATTTTTTCCCCTATGGAAATTCAGTGGAAAAAATATTAAAACTTGAAACGCTAAATGTTGTAAGTCTAAAAGGACACTCTTCCCCATGGCATAGTGATGCAGCTGTAATGGTAGAGGCTAAAAATCTAACTTCCTTCTCATAAAAAAATAAATGCATGTGGAAGGAAAGAAACTGCTGGCAGAAATTCTTTGGGAAACTTAGGACTTGGGAAAACTTTTTTCTAGGTACCCTGCCAAAGCCATTTTTCTCTTCCCACACTTGCTTCTGTTTTTTCACAATTGGATAAAATACTGTCTGAGCAGTGTTGAATGATGGAAACAAACTTTCTTTTTCGAGAAAGAAACTTTCCTTCTTCAAGCCAGCCTTGTTTGGCTCTCTGTTGGAGGTGTGACTGCAAACAGGCCTAGATCCTTGGAAAAATCTTTGAATAAGCAATAAAACAGATGTTTTGACACGATAGCAAAGGTCACTTCCACCCAGGTTTCATGCAGAATTCTTTGGGAAACTCAGAGAAAGGACAGTTAAGAGTGTAAAATAATACAACACCTTTCCCAGGGATTAAAAATAGATTTGCATTTCTGTTGTCATGATAAGGCCATAAATTTCAATTCTCTAATACAAAGACATTCTGAATTTCAAAAGAGGAGAGCACAGCTGCTATTAAGATATTCATATGGTGATAAAATCAGAGTTCAAGCTTCAAATCAAAAGAGCATATGCAATTCTTTCCTCATTTTAGAATTTTAAAAAATAATTCAACTCCATTTGGTGTGCAAGAAATGAAATCCTGAATTGTGCTTTTTTTTTTTTTACTAAAAAAGCTATTTTTTAAATCTCTTTCGTTATTATAAAATCATTAAGTGAAACTATTAATAGCTTGAAGGAAGAGGAAGTAGAAATGAGTATAGAAGACCATATTCAGTAATTATGGGAAGCCATAATTCATGGCCTGGGTCTCGTGAAGCCAGTTAATTTTCCTCTTAGAGCCTGGGGATGCAACACAAGCTACTGCCTTGCAAGTGAATGTAACAAAACCAATATTAACATATGAGACACGATAACAATAATTATAGCATGTTTCTGCAGTTTAATTTAAATGAAGATGGACTTGGCGCAAACTTTACCATTTCTCTGGTACACTTTTTGGAAGGACATATTATTTTGACATTTAAATCTGAGGTGTGTTTGTGCTTTTTAACCTGAGGTCTCCCAACTGTAATTCAGGCGGTGTGGTATAAGCCTGGATAATCAACTAGAAATTCTGAGAAGTACAAGTGAGTACCAGCAGCTGGGTGAAAATCATGACTCTCTCTAGGTTTCTTTTAACAGGAAATATCCATATGTTTTCAAATGTAGCCAGAGATGCACACTACTATCCACGGAGGCACCGAAATGAAAGAGCATGGACACAGGAGCAAGAGGAGGAAGAAAACAGGCCACAGGTAGCCAGGAGGAGGGATCTCTTGGGCTTAAGTATTTCACCAGGGTGAGGGGTCCACTTACACATCTGAAGCTAGGACAAACTTTCCCGTGGCTTAAATGGTCCGTGTTTATTCATACTCAAGTGCTGTAGCTAAAATGGATGTTTTCAAAAGTAACTAGATTGTCTTGTCTGCCATCCAGAGGCACCTTGACAGGTTTCAGAGGTGGGCCTGTGTGAACCTCATGAAGTTCAACAAGGCCAAGTGCAAGGTCCTGCACGTGGGTCAGGGTGATCCCCAACACGCATAGAGTCTAGGCTAAGAATGGATTGAGAGCAACCCTGAGAAGAAGGACTTGGGGATGTTGGTTGATGAGAAGCTCAACATGACCCAGCAATGTGCACTTGCAGCCCAGAAGGCCAACCGTATCCTGAGCTGCCCCCAAAGCAGCGTGGCAGCAGGTCGAGGGAGGGGATTCTGCTCCACTCTGGTGAGACCCCCCACCCCTGCAGTGCTGCGTCCAGCTCTGTAGCCCTCAGCACAGGAGAGACATGGACCTGTTGGAGTGGGGCCAGAGGAGGCCATAACAATGCTCCAAGGGGTGGAACAGCTCTGCTGTGAGGACAGGCTGGGAGAGTTGGGGGGGTTCAGCCTGGAGCAGAGAAGGCTCCAGGGATACCTTACAACAGCCTGCCAGTGCCTGTTGAGGGCCTACAAGAAAGCTGGAGAGGGACTTTTTACAAGGGCACGTAGCGATAGGACAAGGGATATTGGCTTCAAACTGAAAGAGGGCAGACTGAGATTAGATATAAGGAAGAAATTCTTCACTGTGAGGGTGGTGAGGCACTGGCACAGGTTGCCTAGAGAAGTTGAGGATGCCCCATCCCTGGAAGCGTTCAAGGCCAGGTTGGATGGGGCTTTGAGCCACCTGATCTCGTGGAAGATGGCCCTGTGAGCTGCCCCCAAAGCAGCGTGGCAGCAGGTCGAGGGAGGGGATTCTGCTCCACTCTGGTGAGACCCCCCACCCCTGCAGTGCTGCGTCCAGCTCTGTAGCCCTCAGCACAGGAGAGACATGGACCTGTTGGAGTGGGGCCAGAGGAGGCCATAACAATGCTCCAAGGGGTGGAACAGCTCTGCTGTGAGGACAGGCTGGGAGAGTTGGGGGGGTTCAGCCTGGAGCAGAGAAGGCTCCAGGGATACCTTACAACAGCCTGCCAGTGCCTGTTGAGGGCCTACAAGAAAGCTGGAGAGGGACTTTTTACAAGGGCACGTAGCGATAGGACAAGGGATATTGGCTTCAAACTGAAAGAGGGCAGACTGAGATTAGATATAAGGAAGAAATTCTTCACTGTGAGGGTGGTGAGGCACTGGCACAGGTTGCCTAGAGAAGTTGAGGATGCCCCATCCCTGGAAGCGTTCAAGGCCAGGTTGGATGGGGCTTTGAGCCACCTGATCTAGTGGAAGATGTCCCTGCCCATTGCAGGGGGCTTGGAACTAGATGATCTTTAAGGTCCCTTCCAACCCAAACCCTTCTATGGTTCTATTAATCACTATTTAAAAAATACATTGTATTAATAGGATTACAGGCCCTGGAGTTTCTGTCACCGTCACTAAGTGTGTTGTTGGTGCTTGCTTTTTCAAGCTCTGAGGGTTTGGTAATCCAACAACAACTAGTCCAAATGTGGACTGATAATGGATAGGAAGTCCTGGCCTGTCTTCATGGCATATTTAATCCTTCAGTAAATTAGTACAGGGTTTTTCCAGCCTGGGGCAGGATGGGTCTGGGATACTTTTCTACCAACTGAAACCTCCAGATGAGACATAAGGTGTCATTTGTTGCTAGTGTACACACACACACACGCCACCTGCCTTGGAAAAAACTTCCTCTAGTGGCAGTCTGTTAACCTAACAAAGTCATTCTCCAAGGAAGATGAAGTAGAGTCAGGCTCTGGAAAAAAAAAATATTTAAACAGCTAAGCTAGGGCAAATGAATCCCACCTGCTACTGTGTCTGGTATTCTTGTTGCTATCCCAGGGCAGAGAGCAAAATTTAAATAGCTGCATACTATATTTTGCTCCTGATTAGAAAAGGCATTTTAGAAGAGTGGTTTAAAATTCAGATGAAGAGCAGAAGTAAAGATCTGTGTTTTCTCTATGGCTACCAGAACTCTTTGGTCCTTTGATACTTTCTTCCCACTCTTTGTTCTACTACATTAATTCAAACACAGAAAAACCCCCACAAGTGCTAGCATCCTGTCCCAAGTTACACTACATATGGTCTCTTAACCCTTCACTTTTCAGCCATTCTATCCAATGTTTGAGCAGAAATTGAGATTTTTAGAATGTATGTATCAAACTTCAGAAGATGCACAGAAAGCCATAGGCACAAATTGGAATTGCAGTGTGTTCCTTCAGTTTGAATTGTCGTCTGGTTACTGACAGGTGGCAGGTATAGGTGAAAGAAATGTCATGAAAACATAATTGAAAGAAAATGGCTTTGAAGAGCTTTCCGAGGTTATTAATACAGGTTATTTTGAAATTAAAATGTCATCCCTCTCAAAATTCAAAAGTACTTCCTCTTTTTTTTTTTTTTTCTTTTCAGTTTACATTTAATACATTGTTGGTCTATGATAGGTAGTCTGGTTTCTGTGAACAGATGCATCCTTTTCCATATATGTCTTTTCTTGTCTACTAATTATTGTTGTTCTTTTCAGAATTCATATTCTGCATTTATTCAGTTGATGCCAGTTTTCATAATAATAATTGTGTCAGTTATAACTCAATTGATGGCCACTAACCCACCCTACAGCCTATTCTACAAATCGTAAGTCATTTAAAAACACATTTTTATGGTCACTGTTTGCGATAAGGAGGTGGACGGAAGTTGCACTTGATAGCAAAATGCCTGTTAGTGTTCTGTTCTGCTCTTTCTAGAAGGTGTTATCAATTTGTAAATAAGGAAACAGCAACAGTCTCCATCGACCAGTTCTCCTAAGCATTATCGCTATGAAGTTAACTATGGTGTGCTTTGTTGTACTGTTGGCTGAACAAATAGAGGCACTGAGCCAGAAAGCTTTCTCAACTGGGGTGCAGTGTTTTTGCGCAGTGATAGAGTAACAGGAACATGTGTGTAGCTCAGCTACAGTGCTGATCAGCCTCTGGTCTGCCCAGCCCCCAGGCATCTGTGGACCACCCCTGTGGTTCCCCTGTAAAGCAACAAAACAATGCAGCCTGCTGTTCACAGTATAAATCCAAATCTGCTCTGGAGCCTGGATTCCGCTGGAAGAATTGTCAAGCTCCATAAATCATTAAAGCCTTGAAATGCCCTGGTTTAAGGTTTGTAAAGAACCAGGACCCCAGGGTTGCAGAGGGCGAACTGGGCTAGTCAGCTCTGGAAGCAGAAGGACCCCACCCAACGTGCTGTACCCTGAGTTTGTGGGGCAGAGGAAAATCCACTTGCTCCTCTCTGCATCCAGTGTTGGGAGGAGGGAAGCTGTCTAGTGGGAGGGGGCTTACCAGTTCAGTCACCTCCGCTGGCTCTTACTGAGGTAGGAGTGGGAGTGAGCAGGTTTTGGAGAACCAGCTGCACGCAGCAGTGTGTTCTGAACACTCCCCTTGCTCCCTTCTAGGAGCAACACTACTTGGCTTTAGGCCTATATCCTCTCCGCTGTCATAGTAGCGCAGCACCCTTTATCGTTATTTGCCACGAGATGTCAGTGTGTAGACCTAGCAGAAGAACAGCAGGGTGGTTGTTTTTTTGGGTGGTTTGATTTTGTTTGGTTGGTTTTTTTTTCCCCGGAGAGTGCTTTTTGCTATCTGCCAGTCCCATGTGAAACCTCCCACACTGCCCTCAGAGCAGCTAATCTCTCCTGCTTTTCTTTGCTATCTCCCCTTCTGCTGTTGATTTGAGATAGTCAGGCCTAAGCCAGATACACAGTTATACCGTTTCTCTAAATAATATCCTTAAAAAAAACTAACAATCTAAAAACTAAAAGAAATTGTTTATATAAAGAGAGCATACACCTCTGAGACATAGCGAGAGAGAAGGAAAAGAGTCATCCAGGAAATAGAAAGGGCAAACTGGATTCCACTGAGTAGAGTGTAACCTTTGTGTTTTGGCTGCCTGCCTCTTTCTCTGGGCAGTGATTTGAAAAAATGCCTGGGTATCTTTGCTCAAATAAGGAAATTCAGCATAATCCAGCAGCTGTGTCAGAGTGGCTAATTCTATCTACAGGATATTCTTTGGGATATTCCATGCCCTGCTTCGCTTACTGATGATTATAAAACCCTAAAGGAAAGTGTAACTAGAATCTCCCCTGCTAATTTTTATTTCTACTAAAGGATCCATAAATCAGGAAAATCTGATTGCATTGTGCCCTAAGCAATACCAGGGCTGTATACCTTTGCTATAATCTCTACATTTGTTACCAATTACCATGGATTTCTGGACCTAGCTTGCCAGAAATTGCCAGCAAACAGAAGAAAGCATGTGGAGCTTCCGTTCACAGCTAAAATTTGCTCATATGTTTGGAAGTGTCTTGACTGAACTGTTGAGAACAAACAACAGTTTTTGGAAGGAACAGTGTCAGCTCTGAGTCAGTTCTTTGTACGTATCTCCAAACATTAGATATTTTCCTGTGTTTTTTAGCAAGGGGGGGGTGAATTCTGTTTGTAGTGCACAGCTTGGTGTGCCTGAGACTTGTAATTTCATTGTTGGATGGTTGAGGGAGCTATAGTCCTGCTGAAAACTGCTGAAAGTAACTGTAAAGAAGTTGTAAATACTGTCCTCTGGCACTGCTAATATGGAGGAACACCTCTTGACTTTTTAATATTTGAACAGCTTAAAAAAAAAAAAAAAAATCTGTTTTCTCCATGATGTTTTCACAGGTCCATAGGCCACGTTATTAGTAGAGAAACAGAGAACTTGCAGGTGCCTTACTATGTTGATAAAAACTTTGAAAAGAATTATCAAGGAGCAGAACTTCAAGAGCTAGAAAAAAACATTGAAAAAGATTACATAGACTATATTCAGACCAGCTGCTGGAAGGAGAAACAGCAAAGTAAGTTGGTGGGGTTTTTTTTTTTGGTTACAAGTGTGTGCCTAAAACCCTTCAGTAGTTGTATGATGGCTATGCTTCACAAAGCACTGCCATTTTTAGCCTCATTTTCTGAAGCTTATAACATCTCAAACCTTGCACTGGTATTTCTCACACCTGCTCTTAATGCTGAATTTGCTTTTGTTGAGGGTCTGTCAGAGTTCCTTTTAGGTGGTTCTGAGAGACAAGGGGAAACTAGGTTTCACCATTTGAGACATTTTTTTCCACTCAGTTTTTATGCTTGAGTAACTCTTAGTGATGATGTTTGAAACATATAATCCACCACACTTACCTAGCTCTGACAAATGTTAGGGCTAGAAAAGATCTTGAGACATCACCCGTTTCACGTTCCCGGATTTGCTGGAGCACAATCATTTCTGACTGGCTCCATGAGAAGATTATCTAACTTTTTTTTTTTTTTCAAAACTTCATCAGAAGGAGAGTCCATAGCCTGGTCAGGTGCTTTTGGTTAATCTTGCAGTGGACTCTGCTACTGGTATCAGTTTTCAAAGAGAATGCTTCTTTGCTTGTTTTGTGCCCTTATTTGCATTTTCTATCTTTAGATGAGTTTGAGATCATGTTTTTCAGCATAGTCAAGATTGCTTTTTAAAAACAAGAATTGAATGCAGAAAGGGAGAACACAAAACTGTGAGCATTCAAAGTCATGATTCTCACGTCAGTCCTAAGTCAATCAGTGGCACGTATAAAGGCATGTATTTTAACCCCATATTGTATTATTTGTTAATTACTACTCTTCTAGTTCATTTAAAATAGAGCAAATCCCTGCTGCTTTTGTAACTGTACCAATTAACAGAAATCAAATTACAAGGACTAGCTGAAGTTGGGATGTTGTGACTGATTTTTTTTTTTCAGCTGAAGAACGCATCACCCTCAAATGAGTAGACACAGCTATTGCTGTGCGTAAAGGAAAGTGGAAGAAGTTGTTCTGTGTAAATGTTTAATAGTACCAGGCAAGCTGCTTTCATGCACTAGTAGGGCTTTCTCAATTCATCTGTGTAAAACAATCCTCAGCACACTACTAAAAAGTGACTTTGCACTTGTTTATGGTTTCTGTACCAATTGCATCATTATGGTAGCACACACTTTGTCTAAACAAGACTTGTTTAATCCTGTGCTAGAGGTAACTATATTGTTGCTGACTCTTTACAGGGTTTTGATGGGAAGGGTGGGGGTTTTTTTTATCCAGAGGCTGCTTTATTTTACATAAAAGTTATCAATCTTGCTTTTAAAGAGAAATAGACAGTTGTTATCTCTGAAGTTAAAAAAGAAAAAAACCCATAATATAAGACCATAAAAATCCCAAACAATCCCTTGTTTTTTGGTGTGCTTTACTTGTCATCTCTGAGCATCTGTGGCTGGCAGTAGCAGCCTCTAGGTATAATGTGGCTGTTAATAACCATAAATGTAGGTTTCATGTGTAGGCTTGCTGTAGGGATAGAATTTATTTCTTACAGAAAAATCCTTTTAATTGACCTTGTGCAACTGAAAGTCACCATATTGTCTCTTTCATGTAGACTTTGAGCTAAGGAGTGTCGTGCCACAAAATGGGCAACAGGATTTGCAAGTCTAAGAGTCAGAGGGAGGGAGATGATCCAGCGCTGAATGCCAAGTAATGCCAAAGCAGTGCTCCTCTGGAGCTTTTTACACTTAAGAGACTTTATTAGTCACACATCTGCAGATATATTTACAATGTCTGCAATTAGCAGTAGCCTGAGGAGACCACTGTAATTAAAAAAAAACATTTTCAGAATGATTACCATCTAGGCCAGCAAGCAGGTAATGAGCACAGCTGAGAGACTGTGCTAACTTTAGTACAGCCAAGTTTGTAAAAATAAACTGTGAATACAAGATGGAGTGCTGGGGAAAAGTTCTCTGGAGATGTTGAGACAGTTCTTAGTCAGCTGTTGTTTCATAACTTTGATCCATTAATTCTTGTTTAACTTCATGTGGTCTTTTTTTTTTTTTTTGTCGGTAGAATGTCTATGAATAGTGCGTTTGTTTTGTTTACCAAAGGTGCATTTCTCTTTAGCACCAGCAAAACGCACACAGATTAGCAACAGTTTGATTTTAAAGTCCTTGATTTTAGGAGTTGAAAAGTGTTACCTGTTGTGCAGCTACCGTAATGAAAACTTCAAAAGTAACTGATATATCAATATCTTGTTCATCCAGTCCCTTTTATACTGCTGCACTGATAGTGTTCCTCCCTTCACAGCAGAATAGCATGTAAAAGTTGCGTATGCTGTGGGTTTTGGTCTTCTGAAATCTTTGATATAGTTAAGTACAAAAAGCATGTCCCAGGTTTTTACAGGAGATTGTTCAGCTGTGATAGCACAGTTGTAAAGTAAGACTGCAAAGACCTTTGAGGTGTAGACAATTCGAGAGGCAACTGAAAACGGAGAGAATAAGGATATGTGGTTGGAATTTTGTATTTTAGGACTTCCTTAGAAAAAGTTCAAAGGAACAGCTCTATGTAAAGATTTAAAAGCACAGGAAGCAGACGTGACAGAATGAATGCTGCAAGTATTTGCAGTGAATAATTTTCCCCAGTTGTGTAAGTGTAAACTAAGATTCTTTGCTGCAGATCTCCAAGGACCCTGGACTCGGAGACAATTACCCAAGTCTAGTTTTGCTGAAGGCTTACCAAGGCTATGTGCCCAGTACTACTGTGGCATTATAGTTATAAAACCTGAAAATTGATTCCTGATCTAAAATGAAATGTTCATGCCTGTAAGTTTGTAAAGCTTTTCAATAAATAGGTGGCGGGTCAAATGGCTTTAAATTTCAGTGGGACAGGGACAGAGGATGTAAGGCATGAAAGGACGTATTGAAGTTCTTTCCATTCTGAATGATTTTTGTGAAATGAAGGACTTAAGGTGTAAAAAAGTGCTTTGAAAAACTGTCTTCAGGTAGCCTGTGCTCAGGGAAATTTTGACCTTTTCAGAAACAAATTACTGCTGTTCTCTTAGGTGCATCTAATCCTGGATCCAAATTATTCTTCAGGGAGAAAGCTATATTAAGATTTCCTTAGCTAATCAGCAAAAGAAAATTCTCTGAATTACTGGGGGGAAATAATTTAAACAATGGGATTATTTCAGTTTCATGTTGCTTTTGAGAAGACAGGGGGAAAAAATATGCAAAGCACATTTGAGATTTTTAATGAACAGGCACAGAGGCCTTTCAGGCAAGTCCCTTGGCTAGCTGCTCACCTTTCTCTAATCAGTACCAAAAAAAAAAGAAATGAATGATGCCTCTGGGCAAATCTCTTGCCAGACAGAGTTTGAATTCTGAGAGGTACAACATCAAAAAAACAATTATTTATACCTTAAAGTATTATATTTGGATGGGTGCTGTGGACCCTTGCAGAATGGGTCTGCCAAAAGAATTGCGTTTCTCGGTTATGTGGGCAGGGGTGTGTGTCTTGTAGTTCCTGCTTAGCTTATTAGCCTGCAGACATCTGACACAGCCCCAAGGCAGCGATAGGAAAAGCAGTCATGAGGTTCTCTTTCCTTCTGGCTTGTCACTTAAATACGGCTGATGGGTGTCGAGTAACCCCCCTCCACCAGTCTGTGCCTGGCCGTACCTCGGTAAGGACCGGCACACGGTGAGATGAGATGTAGTTCAAACATAAGTAGCAGTATCGCCTCGGACAGGTGCTGTGTAGCAGACCAAATGGGATCCTACTAGCCCCTCTCTATGCAGCTAGTTTAAATACATACCTATGTTTTAAAGCAATCACCTGTTCTGTAGATCTTTAGCATAATTTTAAATGTTACGTGACTTCTAAGCTATATTTTTATTGTTTGTCTTTCCTTTGTAGACAGTAATAATCAGTTTTATTTTTTTGTTTTGGTTATTGTCCTACTAGTGCACTGGTGGAGAGGGTTATTATAACTGTTTGAGTTTTCAAGCAATTACGAAAATACTGTTTTCTTAAGTAGCTAACCTGGTTAAACCTGATGCGCTCTTTAAAGTTGTTAACATGCTCAGTTTCACTGAAACAAGGTGAATTAAAAAAAAACCCCACACATGCCACAAGGATAACAAAGCACTGAGAAACAGTTATTTAAAGTAAGCTCACGGCTTCATCCTAATATTTTTTTTTTTTCATCTTTCAGAGTCTGATTTGTCAAATTTGGCCAAGCTATACAGAGATGAGCGATTAAAACAGAAAGCAGAATCACTGAAACTTGAGCACTGTGAGAAGCTCTCCAGTCTGATTGGAATGCACAAAGGGGGCTGACCAGGACACACACGTTCTGTAGTTTTATTTATTGCTGGTTTAACTTATGTTTTTATTTTCCTTTGTATAAAAAGGGAAGGAGTCTATTGTAAAGAGTCTGAATATTCGAGTCCTTCTGCATATAGTGCAGAGATGGGCCAACACAAGCTGTAGAGCTAGTGTTTGCTGTAATATAGACTGTACACTATATTTGGTTCCAAGGACCAGTGGCACTTTCTAAATGAATTCCCTGGGAAACGCTATTAGTTTGGAACCTGTCTTCATCGGTAGGTTGTCTGCCATCCAAACAGTATATACTTCCCAGGAGAGCAGACAAATGTCTTTGCTTTCTGTATTTTATATGGACCTGCAATGCACTTAATCATACGAGCAGCATAGTTCTCAGTGTTACATGCGCTAGCCTTCTCATACGGATACCGAGCGGATGTCCTTGCTTCTACGGTGGTTTGTAACAAGAATTTAGATGGAAGGTTTCCAGTTCAGTGTAATATGCAGTGCTCAATTCAGAAGAGTCAAGTACCTGCTTCAGGTGAGCACTTGAGCAGCTCTCCCTGCAGTCAAAGGGACTTAACCCCGTGCTTGTCTGGCTGGAGGGCTGAGCCCATTCTCTTCCGTGGTGAGACAACACGCTGAGATGCCGACAGCATCGAACAAGAAGATGAGAGTCTGTGAATTGCACCGATTCCAATGTCTGCCAACCTGTAGAGAAAGGACAACTGTATGTATTTTCTCATACGTTTTCAGTGGCATATTTTTAAGCTGGCTGTTTAATTCTTATTTTGATCTGTAAACTTCTCCAGCTGTTACAAGGGGTCCTGCTTTTTCTGGTACAGTTTTGATGTAGCATATTTTTACTCTGTTGAGCCGTTATGAATGTTTCACTGTAGAGATTACTATTGCAAAGAAAAAGATCCATGTAATAGTGTCTTGTTTTTTCTCAGTCCTCCTTTACGAAACTGGGTGTTTAAAGGCAGGGTGAGGATGGCTTATGCTTAGCAGCAGCAGAGAACAGAACGTTACTCTGGTTGAGCATCATTAACGTCCCGAGCCAGTTTCTCCGGGGGAGTGCTGCGGGTGTATGCCGCACCTGGAATGAACTGTTCTTACAAAGGACATTTCCAAGCAGTACAGGCAGGGGGGGGGCACGGATGTGTGCC